AAAATGATAAGTGCACTTTGTTTTAAAGTTTCATTTTTTTGCTTGGGAACTATACTCATCCCCATAATTAGAATCGATGTGTGACACTGCAGCTGTCACACGGCGGCTCTATAGATCAGGAACTGAGTGATCATATTCCACCGACCACTCAGTTCCCAATCATCTCCCTGCAGAGAGTAGAGACTTTCAGTCACTGTTCCCTGCAAGGCTTCCCCCCTCCCTGTTTCTCCAGTGCTAACTGGAGGGACAGATGGGGGAGGGGCCGGGCACAGCTGGCTCTGCACTGTCAGCATATAGCGGGCCTGCTATATGCGAGTTTTGGATCACAGGAGGACATTAGTATATGTCCTTCTGTGAACCCTAAAGAGAACTATGGCAAAAAAGGTTGGGCCATAGTTCTCTTTTAAGGGCATGATAGAGGAAAAACTCTGTGGTGGCACCTTCCCTTGGAGCAAATAACAGACTTACCAGCAAAAGCGATCCCCTCTAGACCTTCCATCTTCCTCCCAGTCTTCCTCCCGGCTCTGATGATGAAACAAATGGCAAACGCACTCATCTGTCTAACTGTTAGGGTTGATAACAGAGGTTTTAGTTGCCCAACTTTAGCAAAACATGTGGAAGCCACACTGCCTCGTCAAGGCCCCTCTGTATAGTGCGGTCCTAACTAATCTATGAGAGCCTCCATTTTGGAGCATATTTATAGCAAAGGATGAAGTGGGTGCAGGTTCGCCAGGAGGTACCTCAACCTCCTTAAAGGCACAGGAGCCCTGCACATCACAAAGGCAGTTGAAGCTCCCATACCAAATCCAACAAGTGAAACGAATGGCAAACACACTCATCCATTTATAACAAGCTTTAAAGCAAGGTGCACATGGAAGAGCTTTAAGGTGGCCATACACTTTACAACCATCGCAAGACCTTAGTCTTGCAATGGTTGTAAAGTACTTAAAAAAACGTACAATCTGCCCATCTTGGACAGGCAGATCGTACTTGCGATCACTGCAATGAGGGGCGGGCTTGCAAGGACGGCAAACGGTCAGTGTGCCCGTGCGCATCACCGGCCCGTTCGTCAGTTGTCGAACCAGCAGGCCACTCGCTCGCAGAGAATCGTACGATTCCCGGCGGGTTTTCCAGCCTGCTTGTTCGATGGAAGACGTGCGACCGTACAGTAGAAACGGTTGCACGCCTTCCATACACTGTACGATCGCGGGATTTCCCGCGATTCTCGTACGAGAATCGTACAGTGTATGGGCACCTGTACACAGTACAAAAACAAACATTTCCAGCACACTCACCAGCCAGCAAAAAAAGTACACTGTCTAACTACTAAGGTTAAAAACAGAGGTTTCAGGGCTAGTTCACACCAGCCACAGTGCGTTCTGGCCCGACTGGGGGCTGAAAAGCACTGAATCGCATTGCGGCCGGCTCACTTTGTGTTGGGGCGGGGTGGTGTATGGAACTCAATGGCACCACAAGCACGCCCTCCAACCACACGGGAACGTGTGGCACATCAATGCCTGCGTTCCGGTCCGAAAAAATAGCGCATGCAGTATTTTTTCAGACCAGACCGGAACGCAGGTATTGATGAGCCACGCGTTCCCGTGCAGCCGATTGCACTGTGGCTGGAGGGCATGGCTGCGGTGCCATTCAGTTCAATGCACCGCCACGTCCCCTCCCGCCCCAACACAGTGAGCCGGCCACAATGCGATCTAGAGCGTTTCGCCCCCAATCGGAGCTGGTATGAACTAGCCCTTAGTTGCACAACTTTTGCAAAACATGTGAAAGCCACACTCCCCCCCACAGCTACCACTACTCTGTTGCTCCGCATTCAAAAACCTGTAAGTGACTTAATCAGCATTTCAAATATAAAAAAACATTTGACTTTAATATCACTTTAAGCCCAACAAAGCTTTAAAATCGCTGAGGTCGCTCAAGTGTGAATGGGGGACTACAGATCAGCAAAAGAGCTGACCTCACCCAGCCCCCCCCCTCCTCTTCTGGGGAGCGTATATCTCGTGTATATTATTATGGTGATTCTGCGCTGGATCAGTGAAGTGGAAAAAATGTAAGTATAAGTGCTGAAAATAATTTGGGGGCTGCAGCAAAACTGACCGAGTCAAATGCTATGAAATTTGGGAATATGCTGCGCCCACAATAATCAATGTGTAGGTGTTAAAATGAACTGTGATTAGATCGTGAATTATACAATAAACAAGTGTGAATAATGTATCAACCATACATATAAAATCCCATCATGACAAAACATATAAATTGTAAATAAATATTAAAATATATATGCGTTATAAAACATTCCACAATCCATAAAGTTTTTTGTTGTGATTTAAAGTTCGTATTTAAAAAAAATGTGATGCCCTGGATTATTAATCCCACAGGGTCTGTGAAAACGAATCAGTATTAGTGACGAGCTACCGTGAAAAAAATGTTGATAGTCAGTGAAATGTGTTCGTAAAAAAATATATATGAAGAAGTGAGTTCCGTAGACTTATGTTGGGGGTACGGGTCGGTGCCACAGATATCCCCTCAAAGAGTGCACTCACCGTTAGGTATTGGCTGTGGTAAGCAGCCGGAAGCGCTTAGATACAGATTTCTGCAGCCGCAGCATCCATCCACTATCTCGCTCCGGTCCGTGGTTGGTGGGTGATGTATCTCCACGTTCATAGAAGAAAAAAGCCTTTCATTGCATAGTTTTTTTCAACAAAGGGGCTTTATTTAAGATTGCAAAAGCCAAAAGATAGCGAACATTCGGCAGAGGAAAAAAACAGCAAACGGAGTCTTGTATTCGGTATAACGTGTAAATAGGCCCGCCCCTACGCGTTTCGTCGTCTTGACGTCTTCAGGGGGTTGTGCAGGTCTAACACGTCATACCAAAGTTTCTATTTATATCTCACAATCAATTAATCATTCACTTATTGCCCAATGCAGCACAAGGGAATCTACATCGGGTAAAGAACATCATTGGATTCGTATGTGTAAAGAAAAAATTTATCATAATGATACGTAAAATGTACATACTATTAAAATCATTTATTCAAAATTAATTTATTTAAAAAGGTTTTTTATATGGTAAAATGTTGTTTATTAAAAAGAGGTGAAAATTAAAATACTGCTAATGACTTAAAACTAGATGAATTGATTATTAACATTATAAAGCCGCCGTGTGAGGGGAGACTTCATAACATTCCTCAACATGTGTGACCAATAAATTATATGATCTGATGACTGAATCGTAGTGATCTAGATAGACATACCACATATAAGTGGCTAAAATGTAACCACTGTATCTATTAAGTTGGTTTAATCAGGTGGTTAAAGATCGATATTGTATAGATACCGCATACTAGTTTAAAACTGGCAATTAGTTGGAAAGAGGAGGATATTAAGTTGTGGTTATCATAGTGTCCCTAGGAGGTTGATGGATGTTAAAGTTGGGGCAACTTTATTCTATGTTTAGTGTCCATTTACAGTAATAGTGTGACGCCTATCATTAATAAATACGATCTAAGGTATTCTTAAATTGGACCGACCTAATTATTCAGAACCAGTATGGTAGATCCCCACATTGTATAAACGGAGGAGGAAGACAAAATTCTACAACATGCCTTTATATCTCGTGAATAAGATACACATCAGTGTGTCATAAAGTGTGAGAGAACGCGCTCGTCTATGTACACGTATCAGAGCCTGATCATTGGTTTTGACCCGCTGACAGCAGCAACGCTGAACGATTCAGCCGCTTCCTCTGCAGCCTCTGACTCCACAAGCTGCTATTTAAATTTTTCCGCGAAATAAACGCGTGGCTGCTCCTTCCTCCCAGGGGCTCCACTGGGACGCCGAGCGTATCACCCAGGTAACCGCCTTTCCCCGCCTCCCATTGGCCCGCCTGCTCTACACAAGACTCCTCCATTGGCGGCTGCAGCAGAAGAGGCGTGGCGAGGGCGTGTCGTCCACAGAGGAGACAGAAGCATCGTTTCGGTTGCCTGTCAGTTCCCGACGTGCAGAGCAGCTGAGAAGACTCTTCAGCCCCTGCGTGGTGCCCGGGCGCAGAATCGTCCAGCTCATCCATCAATCTCTGCACGATCGGGGCATTTCTCTTCACCTCCTCCTGTGTCTAGAGAGGAGGGGGGGGATCTGGGAATTCGCCGTCAGCACAAAAGCTCCTAAAAAGCCTGAATGTCTCGGAGAATTAAGCTGCTAGCAGGCATCCAAGTGCAGAGCCAAGGGGATCTAACACACAGGAGAGGATTAAGTGGATGTTGCAGGGTGCAGATCCTTCTTATGCAGTGCTGAAGCCCGATCACCGGGGGTCACAACACGTTTTGCACTTCTGTCTCTTCCGGTAATATTTATTATCTGCAGCAACGACAAAAAAAATCCCCCCTGGATTGGTGAAAGGCTCTGGTTCCCTTCTCTCTCCTATTTTTGGGGGGAGATCTATAGCTCATGTATTTTGCTCTTATTCCTGCTGCCCATTTGATTCGTGTGGAGTTTACAAGAATGATAACAAAGACATTTTTCTTTCTTGCGTGCTAATATTTAAATTCATCTTTTCTATTGTTTTTTTTTTTCCTCTTCGCTCTGATTTTCTGCTGTCATCGTGATATGAAAACGCTGCCCCGGAGGCTTGAAAATAAATTGAATTTTCACTGGTAAGGGAAAAAAAAATAAAGATTAATAAGACACGGGGGCTTTCATTGCGATTTGTGATCTTTGCGGAATCTGGAGTGGCTCCTGGATTTTTCTAACAGTCATTTGTACTGCTAAATTAAGAGTTCCTCAGATCTGCCCGGAGAATACGTTTTCCCAAAGCTTTAGATCTTTGTGTAATTTTTCTTATTTATTGTTTTATTATTCTTTTTCTGCTTGGATTAACGCTACCAACTTTCAAGTCAATGCAAACAAACAAGACATGACACTTTAAAACCGTGAATGGTTTTTGAAGACTATATTGAACCTAACCCCTCTTTATGTTGATTTTCCATCCCAAGGCTTTTTGTTCTTCGCTATTGGCTTTTGCTGGAAGATTAAGGGATTTGAAGGAGTATTTTTGAAGACCTTATGGCTTGGATTGAGTTTTAGAGTCCTGCGTAGACTTTTTTCTTCTTTTTTCCTTTCTGGATCAAAGGCACTAAAAGCAGAAAGGAGCCTGGAGATTTATGGTAAATATTGTCAGGGGCTGGGCTGGATGCTCTTTAAAATGCAGAGTATTCTAAAAGTATATTTTCAGGGCATAATACAGCAGATGGTGGATTTTCCTCCCAGCTATCACATTCTTATGAATGCTGCTTTAAACTAGTTGCTTTATCTTAATCGTCACCCATCTGTGTATAATTAATGGAAATGTACATGTTTCCTTTTTTTTTTTTCTTCCTCTTTCCTGAACTTTTCAAATGCAAATGGTACAGATTATAGGTGTCTTAAAAAGTGTAAAGAATGCTGTGAGATGAGGTTTGCATATTTGGACAGTGCGATTGTTGGGAGGACTTACATGTGCCAGAGTGAGCTTTGCATGCACATTTATTATGGTTTGATAGCATACAATGAAATTACCGGTTTTCTGTATTCCTTTAGGTAGTGCAAAATGGTCCTTTTTTCTGTTGCTGGAGGTCTTGCCAATGTGTATGTGTTAAACTCAATGACTGAAATCTTAAAATCTTTTATATTAATGTAATTTCAAAAGTTTTCACAGTAAAATACAAGGTGATCCTGCTTTGAAGGTCCTTGTTCAGGCACTTCCTACATAGGGGTAGACAACCCTCATCCCCTGTCTCCCAATTACTCTCATGCGTTGTCACTCTATCACATGTCCCCTTGATAAGCGGTCCTGCTGGTGCTCATAGTGCGGGTGTGTTCCTTCACTTAAGTCTAAGTCCCATTGCACTCCTGACCGGTATATAATGACCCCAATCTTGGGTTGGTGCTGCAGTGAATGTGGAGGGCAGCGCACAGAAATCCATAGAAGAAAAAGATCACTGGCACTCTAATATCCTAAACGTCAGATCCTTTTATTGGCATGACAGAATAGGTCTCACAATGTGAAGCAACATTTCGTAACCAACTCTGGTTCCTTGTTCAGGCAAACAGAGTGACACTGTCACGTTCAGCAAGGAGCTAGAGTGAGTACATGTTAGGAAGTGGCTGCAAAGAGGCTGCTTGAGAGCATCACTATTATAATTACTATAGGTGTTTATATAGCACTGACTGTTTACACAGTGCACATTCACATCAGTCCCTGCCCTCAAGGAGCTTACACTCTAAAATCCCTATCTCGCATGCATCTATATACAGACTAGGGGCAATATAGACAGCAGCCAATTAACCTATCAGCATGTCTTTGGAGTGGGAAAAGGATAAAAAAGGAGGGTTAACACAGTATTTTAGAAAAGGGAAAAAGAAAGCATGTCAATTGTTTGCTACACAGTAGCAAACTTAATGCCACCCAGGTAGTGTTTACATCTACTTTTAATAATATTTTATTTTCTACATCCTGTTTTGTGTTTTATAGAGTATGGAATGTGTCATATTATTAATAGATATTTATATATTTTATTACTCTCCGTGTGTGTGTGTGTG